GGTAAACTTTGTAATATATCTTATTAACAATACAATGCAAAAGTTTTATAAAAATTCGTTCACAGTAAATAAATTCCGAGGTTTGTATCCCATAAGGGCTTAAAGTACTCCACTAATAGTAAACTAAAGCTGATTTAATGTCAATGTAAAACAATTATTAATGTCAATCAGATTGAGGAGCATTTTGTATAATAAATATTTCAATGAAAAACTTAATTCTATACAAAAGAACCATTTTCTGATAAAATGCTGTTTATTATTATTATTATTATACACTTACAATAAAGCTTATAATGTATATCCAATCTAGTTTCTATGTAAAAGAAGGAGGCAGTGAAAATATAAAATAAGTAAAAAAATATTACAGATCAGTTTGAAAGTTATGTTATTGTATGTTTTCGAGCTGTTAATAATTTAAAGTATTGGTTACCATATATTGTATACTAATTAACAGTTATTGGTATCTACTAAATAATAAATTAAGTAAAATAATAACAAGAAACTGTCAACTACTAATTAAAAATTTTACAATTACAAACATTCAGTCTCATTCGGCCCATATTACATTTTTCAATATTTCTCATAACCTGAGTGTGATGAAAATTATATTTTCCAATAAATGCTACGTTGGTAAAAAGTAATTCAGCAGCTTAAATAGATTTATCTTTAACGTAATTTATTACTTCGTTTTTCGGAATGGAGTTCTGAGATAATAGTGTATAACTGATATCAGCATATAAGATTTTCTTATTTTGATTCTTATTGTTTTGCATAATATTTGTCATGCAAAATAAATAAATTGGTTTCAAATTACTAGAAATGTTATTTTATTTTTGTTAAACAATATTAGAAGCTGTTTTTTTTGGATAAATTGACCCTATTATACCGGATATTTTTCAAAAGTGGCTCACCCCTATAACCTTTTTATTTTATCAGATAAAAAAAATCATATTTGGTATGTTGGTATACGATGTAAATTAGGATTGATTAACACACTCAATAAGTTTAGCTCGTTTCCTGTTTCGCCGAAAATAACCAACTTTGATTTTTAAATGATACCCTTGGTATTGTTTCACTTTATTTGACAGAAAACGATATTTTGAACAGAATTACACTTTTGACATTTTCAATTAAAAAAATAGCATTTTAAATTTCAATCTAGAATATGTGGTACCAAATTATTGGTAAATAAATGTGGTTCCTGGTTCATAAAAAATGATTTTGAAAATTTATAAAGAAAAATACGATTTGGGCCTTTATAATGGGCCAAGAAAAGACACGAAAAACATAATACGATCAAATCTATTTTTCCAAAGATTTTTGATTAAAAATATTAATGATGTTAACACAGCCATGGCCCTTTAGGCTAAAATTTAAATTGCATTTTTTTAATAGGAAATATCAAAAGTTGACATATGATATGACATTCTATTCAGAATGTAATTTTCTATCATGCAAAAAATGAGAGACATTTCCATAAAAACAAGAAGTGACCGAAAATAATTGAATACTGCAGTCAATCCCGATTAATGCAATATACAAAAAAATTAAAAAATATAGTGCCTAGTGACCCAGTTTTGCAAAACACCCGGTATAACCGAACAGTTACCTGATTCAACAATCCAAACTCTATTAAACCCCTAGATCATATATACTTGTCGCAAACACATCAACGACTTCCATTTATCTTCTTTTTTTATTGCACACGCGGTGCTTCTACTCTATCTATCCTTGTTCAGGACCTAGCGGCCACGCGCCAAATTTGAATATTAATTTTAAAAAATCAATTTGTAAAATGCATATATTTGAACAATAAATTGAATGTTTACTGTCACAAAAGTTAAATTATATAAAAAATACATTTAGCCACTCCGTACGAATATCAATATTCTTAGGAAATCTAGCCGGAAAGTATCCATGTAGTTTAATATAAATAAAAGGACAACTGAATATTTTACTTGCCTATGAAAAGATAATTCGGGGGCTTTATATTAGAACTTCCACACACCAAACACTTTCTAACCATTTTTACGAGTATTTAGTAAGACCAACGAAAAAAAAATAGAAATATAATTGCACAAACTTAAAATTAACTTCTCACTAAACACACTTGTATCCTTGGCTATGTAAAAGCGGTTGATAAAAGAGTAATTAATACAATTTTTAAAATAAAAAAAAACCAAAAACAAGCGTCGTTACACAATGGAAATACGATTATGACATATGTTTAATATTATAAGTCTTTTATCTATGGACATATGATTATGAGAAGATTATGACAATTATGATGACAATGAAAAGTTGGTTGCGATAACAATGTATAATTTGTACTTTCTAAACCTATAAAATTGTGATTATTTTGGAAATACGTACAACTTTTAATGCGCATGCGCAAAGTAAGGTCCTCGGAAAAGACAAATCTATTGAACGTTTCATAAGTGCAATAAAGAAGGTTTGAAAATGGCATGTCGTGATGTTGGAGACATATTTTTAATGCTAAACTTATGGCGTTGATTTATCCACGTAAGTATATATGATCTAGGGTAAGTATATATTATGATCTAGGAATAAACCCTACCGTTTTTGTATATACGGCAAGTATATTGATTTATTTAAAAAATAGTAAAAAGATGACGGGAACTCAGATCACTAAGAAAAATACTTTATAAAATCGATATCAAATAAACTTTTAGTTATATCATCGAGGGCGCGATTATTAAATTCATTGTTGCCATCCATGGACATATTCGACGCCGGGCTGACTAACTGGAATTTAAATTTCCCGCTGGCGATTCAGCTGGTAGCTCTGCTGGAAAAAAATGTTTAGTTGTCGCATCTATTTATTTATTTCCTGACATTTTGATTCGTTTTGACACTTTATTTTTGTATTACGAGTTTTTAGTATAAGTGAATTGTGTTGTAATACTTTAAGCTTAATTTTTATTATTAGCAGACATTGCAGTCGAAAATTGTTCTTTTTGTAGAACCGCTTGTAGTGCTGAAGGTACAACATGCCAAAGCAGATTAACAGCCGTTGCAAAGAACTCGTCGCAACCTTATTAGAATATATCGAACGGGAGAGCGGTAATAATAGCTCTTTATATGTCATTTAGTAAATTTTTTTTTGTTAGTGCTGTTAGGGAAGTGAGTTTTGTTGATGTAAATAATAACTGTTTATATGTTCATATTTAGTTCAGTTTTGTTTTCTAAAATATTTTGATTAAAAGAAAATATCTAAAAGTCGGCAACGCTGTGCAGGTCAAGCTCAATGACGTGACTAAAAGTTTATTTGGTATGATCTATACGTAGAATATCTTAAAATTGTCATTGATACTGTACATTATTTAAATATAGACTTGTTTGTAGAAAAACAGAAAAAAAGTTAAAAAGAAGCTATCACGAATAGACGTTTTTTAATTATAGGCCAGTAAGCGAGGATAAAAATTCTTGACACCCGTACCGATTGCCGTGAAATTTTAACAGTGAATAGAGATATATGTAAGAAACAAAAGTTACATAGTAGCGATGTGTGCTTTCACCCTGGAGGTGAATACCACCCCTTCTCGGGGGTGAAAAATAAATCACCCATTTTAATTACAAAAATCAATAAAGTGATAAATTCTAAGCAAAAAATGTTCTATAACATTTTTTCAGAAAATTAATATTTTCTTAGTTATTTAGGATTGGAAATGTTGGGTTTTCATCTAAAAACTTCATATTTTTTGCCAATTTTTATAAATAATTCGAAAACCTTGCTTTTTATCGCAAAACTGAAGCTTTTGGAATAGCGAATCGATTCATTTTTTGTTGTTTGCCGTAGGTGTAGTAATAGCCGAGTTATCACTCTGTAAACTTGATTCTTTATTTTTCGAAAACTAAATTGCAACCTTTTACCGTAAAATAATGGCGAAAGAACACATTTTTCGAAGAAAATGAATATAGCCCTTTTTAAAGTGCTTGAAAAGATCTTTAAATTTTTTTGACATATCTCAAAAACTAAGCAAGATGCGTAAAAAATGAAACAGAGGAAAATAGAAGGTCTTTTTTTGCAATATTTTTGCTTTCAATTTTTCTGTAGATCTCTTTATTTCGTAGATATTACGTTTTTTTAGTTTGACTTGCATGTAAGGACCATCTTCTTTGAGCACTTAAAACCAAAATAACTCGTGAAAATGAAGAGTTCAAGATTGTTCAACTATAAAGGTTACAAATTAACCTTTATAGTTGAACTCGTGTAATTTCCTACAAATTTATAGTTTTTATTTTTATGATTTTAGTCATAGATTTTGTTGTTAATTTTTTTCCAAAAGTAGGGGACCATTTTATTTTTATCATAACTCCGCGAGTTTTTGAGCTACGAACTTGAAAAGACCTTTAAAAAAAAGACATTTATAAGGTCTTCTCAAGCACTTTAAAAACTCATTTTCTTCGAAAAATGTGTTCTTTCGCCATTATTTACGGTAAAAGGTTGCAATTTAGTTTTCGAAAAATAAAGAATCAAGTTTACATAGTGATAACTCGGCTATCACTACACCTACGGTAAATAGCAAATAATGAGTCGATTCGTTATTCCAAAAGCTTCGTTTTTGCTTTATATGAGTTTTGCGATAAAAAGCAAGGTTTTCGAGTTATTTATAAAAATTGGCAAAAATATGCAGTTTTTAGATGAAAAATCAACATTTTCAATCCTAAATAACTAAGAAAATATTAATTTTCTGAAAAAATGTTATAGAACATTTTAAATAATGGCGAAAATTATGAAGTTTTTAGATGAAAAATCAACATATTCAATCCTAAATAACTAGGAAAATATTAATTTTCTGAAAAAATGTTATAGAACATTTTTGCTTAGAATTTATCACTTTATTGATTTTTGTAATTAAAACGGGTGATTTATTTGTCACTCCCGAGAAGGGGTGGTACTCACCCCCAGGGTGAAAATACACATCGCTACTGTGTACCTTTTGTTTCTTACATATATCTCTATTCACTGTTAAATGTCACGTCAATCGGTGCAGGTGTTTAGAATTCGGACCCTAAAACCCTTGCTTACTGGCCTATTATAGTGTGTCTTTTAAATGCCCATTTTCATCATCCATATTATACAACCCAAAACTTTTATATCGTCTAGGCAAATTTTATTAGAAGTAATATAAAACAATAATTTACCTAATATTTTACTATATTGATAGAAATAACAGCAGACACATTATTTTTGATTTTTATTATAGTCTTTCTTGTACCCTTATTATTTTACAAATATTGCACCTGACTTATGACTAGATAAATGTCTCATTTGTTCTTCGTTCAATAATATTCCTTTTATACATGATATTCTCATATTTTTGGAATATACACACATACATAACATATAATGGCATTATATTTTGATATTATGTAAAACATAAGTAGTGCATAATGTTTATTAAAATGGATTTTTTATTCCACTTTCAATATGTATTCAGGAGGTAAGACCTTTGATGATATAAGACTAATATAGACTTAACTACGTTTGTATAACTGATATACGTTTGACTGATTTTTAAAGAAAATATTCAAGGTGTATGAAGAATTTATTTTGATAATATAATATTTGATATGATGACTGTATGTAGTGTAAATGGTCTCTACTATAAAAATAGTTTTTAATATTACGCATCATAAATAGAACGTATGTATGACTTGGTAAGTTAGTTTTTTCTTCTATAAAATTAATAACCATATGCTTATGATCACAATATCTATCAATTCTGTAAGTGGTTTGCAATTGATTTTCAAGTAATATTTAAATTGCTTGATCTTTCGTTAAAATCCATTTCATCAGCGTCGTCGTCTGCAAATCGTATTTCGTCGAGTACATTGCTGTCCACGCTTGGTGACTTTTCCACTTTAGTTTCCTTCTCCATATCTGGTTTCCAGGGTTTCAACTTTCTTGGAAATTCGTGAAGTTGTATGGTTACTTGCCTATTATTCTTCAGCGGCTCCGTCTCGTTTAGGAACCTGTTGTCGATATGGTTTGGTGGTGCAGTGTTTTGAATTAGACCTAGAAATAGTGAAGTAAGTATAAAACTATATATACAATTTATTATTTTTATTTTTAAATTATTTACTGGATACATGTATGTAATAATACTATTCGAAATGTTTTAAAAATTTTTAATTATTAGATTATTCGTTTTAGTGACTATAACCCTGAGCACCAAAAGAACTAACAACTTGACATATAATATAATTGACATATACAGGGTAGCGCACCTCATTCGCCTCATTTGATTATACGAGAACGGAAAGATATAGAAACAGAATATTTTATGGGGTATATGTGGGAAGGAAATGTGCATAATTTAAAATTATTTTCAAATGTACTGGATGCGTCAGAACCATACCAAGTTATATTTTTTTCTTATGGAACACCCGGTATTTTATTTAATTTTTGTATTCTTGGGCATAAAATAAGGCATTTATTATAAGGGTTTAATATGTTTAAATGCTTTGGTTTTTCAGATATTTAAAGATATTTAAATATGCATGCTATACAGGATCCGGCAATAGTGCGTCGGGCATCTGTAGCTCATAGAATAAAATACTTGAGAATTTTGTTTTAGCGGAAACCTAAAGTATGTACCAGGATATATTTCAGGAAAATATTTTAACTTCTATAGGGTGGCTCAAAAAACTGTGAGTGGACCTGGATGATTTTTTTTAATGGAACACCCTGTATATTATTGCATTTTTGGATTCCTTTCAGATCACTTTACAAACACCTAAGATATAAATAAATATATTTCGATAGTTTCAGAGATATAAAAAAATAAATCAAAAATATATATTTTTCAGCTCTTCTTAAAAAAATTATTAAAAATACAAGAACTGTTCTGAAATCAAAACTATATTAGGTATTTACTTTAGATGGTCTATTCTTACTTTGCTATAAATATGGTAATCGTAAATCCTACAGGATGTTCAATATTCTACGTCAAACTTTCTAAAATATAAAATATGTTTTTTTTTGTTTTTTTAAATGGAACACCCTGTATATTATTTTTTTATTAGATGGAGAGTGTAAAAATGAACATTTTTCGTATTTAGAGTATTTCAAAATTCTTAACGGTTTCGCAGATACACGCAGTATTATTTCATATGGCGCTTTCAATGGTAAAATACGAGAGAAAAATCATTGGGTGTCTTTGATAAAAATTTACTGTGGAAAATGCCATATGAAATATAAAACCGCAAATATCTACGAAACCGTTAAGAATTTTATGATTGTAAATACAAAAAATGTTCATTTTTTAATTCTCCGTCTATCGAAAGAATAATATACAGGGTGTTCCATTTAAAAAAACGAAGAAAAATTATTTTATATTTTAGAAAGTTTGGCGTAGAATTTTGAACATCCTGTATAATTTACGATATTCATATTTATAGCAAAGTAAGCACAGACCATCTAAAGTAAATACCTAATATAGTTTTGATTTCAGAACAGTTCTTTTATTTTTAATAATTTTTTAAGAAGGGCTGAAAAATATATATTTTTGATTTATTTTTTAATATCTCTGAAACTAACGAAATATATTTATTCATATCTTAGGGTTATGTAAAGTGATCGGAAAGAAAGCCAAAAATGCAATAATATACAGGGTGTTCCATTTAAAAAAAATCATCCAGGTCCACTCACACTTTTTTGAGCCACCCTATAGAAGTTAAAATATTTTCCTGAAATACATCCTGGTACATACTTTAGGTTTGCACTTAAACAAAATTCTCAAGTTTTTATTCTAGGAGCTACAGATGCCCGACGCACTATTGCCGGACCCTGTATAAATAAGTTTGTCAACACCCTGTACATTACTTTTCAGAGTTAATTCTTGTGCTGACTTTAAAACCAAGCTTTACTAAAGAATTTTATTGCTTTCTTAAATGTATACAGGGGCATCACTAATTGCTGGTCTTTTTTAAATATTTATTTTACATAAAAACTTCGTTATATTCACTATGCCTTTTTTAAAATCAATCGAAGCAAATTTAAATTCTTTTTCAAACTACATTAGGGTTTCCTATACTAATCTGGCTCAGATTTTGAATAAGAAGCGATTTTCAATAAAATGGCAATCAAGATGACTGGTGTCGCCATGGTAATTTGCTAGTTACGTTTATTAGCTATTTTCAAAATCGTTTATTTATTAGTTTATGGACTTTATTTATATTTATAACAATTCACTTTTATCTATTTTTGCACACTGCCTCTCTACATATACCCATAAAAAAATTGTTATTATATCTTTCCGTTTTCGTATAATCAACCGAGGCGTATGCGTGCGTCACCTTGTATAATACACAAGGTGTGTGAAATTAAATAAATAAATAATTTCTGTATTTTTTATGTGCTACGTATACGCAAATAGTGATTGAACAATATAAAAATATTTCGTGTTTTTAACTAGGTAATTAAAAATATTCATAATTCATTTGTATATGATTTACCAATCCAATCCATAATGTACCAACAGGTATCCTTAACTTATTCTATTCGAATCAACGTAAAATAAAATTTAATGTAATGTACGCAATACAATGTAAAATAAAGTTATGAAGGCATTTGCTCCTAGGTATTCATATTAATTTCAGTGGTTTAAAAACGGTAGCTGCTTGAGGAACTGGACAACAAAATTATTTTAGCTTTTATTTTTATTGATATATTTGTACGATATTATATGTATGGATTACTGTATCTTTACATTTGAAATAAAATGTCAAAACCAAACTAACTCTAAAGGAACAAGTTTGTCAAAATTGCCTAAAACTATTTACAAATAATTACTGTTGTTTATGAATATATCTCAGAAAATGATTCTGAAATTATTACACCAATTTAAAATATTTATTATTCATAATTCCTTGGTCTATCATTCACCAATCCTTGATTTTTTTGGATATTTATGATTGAACTAAATATAATGTATAAACTAAATAACATGTATTCTTAAATTATTCGATTCGAATCAACGTTAGGTATAGTAACATAACAAATTAAAATAAACCTATGAAAGCAGCTGCTCCTAGGCATTCATATATAGTATTTTTAATACCTATTTAGAGGTACCAATCGTTTTAGTAACTTAACGTATGTGGCTTCTTAAACCATCTGAACCCGCATGAAAAACTGGAACTTTTAGTGCTTCAGACGCTTTTTGAATTGCCTTAAATCAAGATCCTAAATCGTTTTGAAAATAGTTTACTACATTAAGCATAAGTTTTTTAGATTCATCAGAATATCGCATTTTTATATCTTATTTTGCGTTATGACATTAACATGAAATCAAAATTTGACGTAACTTCAAAAACGTGACATCTAATTGATTAATGACATCTTCAATTGATTTATTAATAATAAATAAGGATGGTGTTATTCTAAATGGGTATTAAAAATACTATACATTTCTGTGGTTTAAAATGAATATTTTTGTATTTAAAATTAATATTACAGCAATTTATATGTTACGGTTAATGTCCGGGTAATGTCGACATTACCCGGTTAATCTCGAGCATAACACACAACAAAACAACCAAAAACATAACCTAACCCAAACATTAACATGTTAATGTCGACATTAACCGGACATCGGACTTTAATCGTAACATATATATAGTTATGAATATACAGGGTGCTACAAATTCCGGGTACGAGCAAACCTGGTGAAATTGGGGCAAAGTTGCGCCTTGGGATGTTGCACCAAGAGACCATCAAGAAAGTTCCAAAAATTTTAAGGATTGCTGAATTTTTTTTGAAAATCACTTTTATTTTATTCTGTCGTTAGTTTTTAGAAAATCCAAAAAGTAATTGCATATTCTCATAGGCACTTTATCAAAGCTACCTGAGAGTATTTTTAGATTTTATAGAATATTATTTTTAGAATAAGGACTTTTTATTTCAGGTTTTTAAAGATTTCGGTCTCTCGCACAACGGTATGCCACACTTATTTTTTTTTGTTTTGGGCACTTATTTAAACTACTTTCAAGTCCGGCTCTGTTTTTTATTATTTAATCTATTTATCCATACAATACTGATGAGCTATAAAAAACTTAACGATGAAGTGTGGTAAAACACTGAATACGGAAAATCAAATACAGTAAAATAATAAAAAATAATATTAAAATGAATAATATAAATAGAATATAATATAACCAATCAAACAATTTCCGTAGAAGATGGATTGAAAATGGTTAAGCAGAGTATAATGGCCAGCGAGGTTCCTGGACCTGTCGCCAAGGGAAGAAGGAGTTGTAGAAGATGATTAATTTATAATAATTACACTTAATATTATGCATATTATTAGATGGTACATTGAGATTTCAAATTCATAATACAAAAAGTTAAAAATAACATCTTTAAATTGCAGATATGGAGATTATTTAATTGAATCTTTTAGTTGGCTCGCTATTCCTTATAGTCAATGTTAATAGCGCTCATCAATAGTAAAGTAAAGTAAAGATTTCAGTTAACGCTTCCTTTTTGCTGCCAGGGGCCTACATTGTTTACGCGGAATCCGAACCGCGGTCCTCGGCCATATTATGGTCAGTGGCCTACCGACTTAGGAAGTGTCTAAATTAACTCTTACTCACGAGATATCCGATCTCATCCGGCCTCGAACCGGCATGAATGAGCAGTGTGTATTAATAGATTTTACACTTTTCCCTTAGACAACAGCACGATACAGAGTTTCGAACCGGTCACCCGTCCATCCACCAGTATCGTCTTACGTCGCTTAACTTCGGTGTTCTAATGGGAACCGGTGTTTCAACGTAGCTAGGCCGTTGCCGCTCATCAATAGAGTTTCGATGAATACAATCAGGTTAAATAATTTTAAAAAAACCAGAGCAAGATGATATTATTTTAAATAATCATTAAATAGTGTTGTTGTTATTAAAGTGTCCAAATCAAAAAAAAATGTAAAGATTATATCGGAATTCTGCTGTAATTCAATATTTGATTTAAATAATCAGAATACTCACCGTGCACTAGTGGGTGCACAATTCTCTTTTTCTTCACTTTAGGTGAACAAACTGACGTACTCTCACTCACTGATCTTCTTCTCGGTTTAGGAAGTAGCGATTCTTCTTCTGGAGATTCTTTATTACTTCCAGGATCTATGTAGACTCTAGGACGAATGTCTGTCATTTCAAGACATTGTTGATCTTCTTGAGGAAGTATCTCCCCTGTTTCATCTAGTGGAGGTATCCACACTAAAAATGCCGGATCCATACCTAATAAACCATAGTTATTGTGATAAATATTTAATATACAGTTAGCGCATATTGATTTAAAGAAAAATATAGACATCTCTATATAAATTAATATACCGGGTGTCTCTCAAAAGTGGCTCACCCCTGTAACTTTTTTTATTTTTTCTGATAAAAAACGAGATTTGGTATGACATAAACTAGGATTGATTGACGTATTCAATTCTTTTCGGTCACTTTCTTTCTGTTTCACCGGAAATGACAACTTTTGATTTTTAAACGACACACTCGGTATTTTTTTACATTATTCGATAAAAATAGACGCTCTGAATAGAATGACATATCATATGTCAGCTTTTTTGACATTTGTGCTTAAATCAAAATTGTATTTTAAATTTCAATCTACAGTGCCATGGCTGTGTTTAAAAACACTAATTTTTAATCAAGGAGCCTAGAAAAAATAGATTTGATCGTCTAATGTTTTTAGTATCTTGTCCTGGCCGGTAAAAGATGCCCAAATCGTATTTTTAGTCATATCTCAATTTTCTCAAACGGAACAAGGGTGGCTCATTAGCGTATTTGAAAAAGGCATTTTTTACGAATAAATTGGCACCGCACACTTGGTATTTCGAGTCAAATTGTCGTTATGAACCGCATGTTACGATTTCAAATAAACCATATGCGGAAATGTCAAAAGTTGACAAATGATATGTCATTCTATTCAAAGTATCATTTTTTATCGAATGAAGTAAAAAAATTCCGAGGGTGGCATTTGAAAATCAAAAGTTATAGTCATTTCCGATGAAACATGAAGTGACTAAAAACAATTTAATACGTCAATCAATCCTAATTTATGTCATATACGAACATACCAAATCTGTTGTTTTTATCAGAAAAAATAAAAAAAAATATAGAGGTGAGCCCCTTTTGAGACGCACCCGGTATATATAGTAGATTTATTAGGCAAATTTACTCTTTTCTAGCAAAAATTATATTACCTATATACTTTAAGAGCACGAACTTCGTGAATAAGATATTGCCATCTGCAATACTTTTCACAATGTAACAATTTAACAAAGGACAATCTAACATGTAGATAAAGCAATGATCAGAAAGATCTGAAATATATATCTGGGGATTATGAAAACGATTGTTTTGATAGAAGTTTTCAATCTTTGAAAGGTTGATAACTCAAAATCTAATCGTAAAGTTTGTAAATAGAAAACAAGTTTTACAACTTTGCTGTGGTCGGTTCGTCTTAAAAACAATTAAGGAGGATCTACCAGCACAATGTGCAGAGTACAGACCTGCATAGATACATATCGGCACAGATAAAATATTATGTCTGTGATACTTTTGACATTTTTGCATATGATTTATTTGAAATTGCAACATGTGGTATCAAATTATTCGTAAAAAATGGTTTTTCCAAATATGCTAATGTGCCACACTTGTTCCATTTGAAAAAATTGAGATATGATTAAAAATACGATTTAGGAAGTTAGAAAAACAGAAGAAAAACATTAAAGAAAAAAAAACAATTAGAAAAACATTAGAAGATCAAAACTATTTTTCCAAGGCTCCTTGATTAAAACTTAGTGTTATTAATACCGCCATGGCACTCTAGATTGAATTTTGAAATACGATTTTTTAAAGCAAAAATGTCAGAAGTTGGCATATGATATGTCATTTTATTCAGAATGTCACTTTCTATCGAATGTCGAATAAAGTAGAAATATACCGAGGGTGCCATTTAAAAATCAAAAGTGAAACACAAAATCAAAAGAAGAAAAACATTTCCGGTGAAACAGGAAGTGATCAAAACAATTATTGAATATATCAATCAATCCTAATTTACTAACATATTAAATCTCGTTTTTTTAACTGAAAAAAAGTTATAGAGATGAGCCACATTCAAGACGCATCCGGAATAGATACCAAGCCTTAATGACTAGAATGAAGATTAATATTTTTTTGATTTTAGGAAACAAAGTTACTTAGGAATATCATAATTGAAAGATAAGACTAAGAACCACAGCAATTCTGACTTCTGCCTTACTCTGTAAACAAACAAAAACAACTAAACTGGAAAAATTCTCCAAATAATAGATGTAAAAATGCTGGTTAAAAATGATACCTTATACAAAATATTTTGATAAATTTATCGAGTTACCTAAGTATGATCCGGGAGCTGCACCAGCATTAACTACATTATAGTCATAATAATCAATTTCAAGGTCGTTATCAGGGCCCACTATTGAAAACTCTGAACCACCAGGGCCTGCTAATAATTTCTCCCGATTTTTCTTATCTTTGGTTGCTTTCGCATTGGTTGACCTTATAGTTGCAGTACTAACCATACTAGCAGCTGAAGAATAACAACCCTAAAATGTATTATTAACATAAGCTATATATTTTAAAATATTAGTTAGTGATATTTGTTTAATATTATTTAAAGACACTACTTATTAACCTTAAAATAATTTTTTACGTTAGCATTTTTTTAATTAAAATATGCTATAAAAGTGCTCAGGTGAAGTTCAGAACACAAAGCGGAGACAAAATGAAAATATAAAATTGTTCAAAATGTGAATAAGTGTTAATAGAGTGCTAAACATTTCAACGTAGTTATTTTTGGTCCACCTTCTTTTGCAGATTTAAAGATTAGACCACTAAATTAATTTTGCAATTTTAATTAAAAACTAAAAATGCTACTATATAATAGCGTTTTTATTAATATGTTTTGTGTATCTAGTTAAAACAAAATATTTTTTTCAAACGTTACAAAAATATTCATTTTTGCGTCGTGATTGACAATATAAAAACGTCATTTCAACGCTTAGGCATAAACCGAGGCATAAACGTAAAGTTCATTATTGAACTGACATAAAGTGTCAAATTGTGTTACTTACAAGTGTTACTAACAAGGAATTACTTTTAAATATTTTCTTATACACTCCAAAATGCAAAAAATGCAACAGAATTTTTTTTCGTCCCGTTTAAAATGTTATATTTTTAGTCCTATTTTCACGAATGTTTTATCAAACTGTATATAAATCCATCAACTTTAATTATTCATAAACTTAGTTTTGCATAAACTTTATACTTTATACAGGGTTAATTGAAGGGTTATTTTTACCCTAACTTTAAAACACCTTGTGCAATAATTTCGTCAGTAACCTAGTTTTCCTAAAACATGATTTTTCAATCAGAATCATGTCTCCTGAGCCTCATGTCAACACATGCATTGGGTAATTTTTAACAGCGAAATGAACTTGCCACCAACAATTTGCAATTTTTTTTAACTCCCATCACTTTGTAATTTTTTAATATCACGAGGTTGTTTTGGTGACTATTGTCGTAATGCCATATCGACACTGCATTATAACTCTATATTAAAATTTAAGAAACTTTAAAAAGTTATTATTCAGACTTGCTTTTATAAAATATGGTAGCACTAACAGAACTAAGGATATTAAAAAAAACATAACTGTAATAACTAACTGACAAACAAAGAAAAATTTGTGAAAAAAAACACTAATACTTTGTATTGCCTTCCCCGGTTGCTATAACTGTGTGTAGACGTCGGTTCATACTACCAATAAGGCTGCAAATATATTTTGTTATTCCCAAAAAAATCCTGTATGGGTATTTCGCCACTCCTGCAAGAAAATCTACAAAATAAAATAATTATTTTTTGTAAACACTTCTGCGATAAACCTAAACGGACGCTGCTTGTCAGAATTTATGTTTACGGTAATACAAATTTGCCTAACAAAGCAAAAAAAAATGCTTAACGTTTCGGAAAGTTATCTCTTTCCGTCGTCGGAAGCAAAAAATATAAAGAATAAAGAAAAAAAACTATTTAAAATATTTAAATTCAACTATTCGAGAACACTTTCCTTTTTTTAAAACAGATACGTCTACAAGAAACCGTTGACGTTCTACCAATACGTTAATACCCATACAGGATTTTTTTGGAAAGATGAATCCGCCACATAGGTATAGATATTTTTTATTTTGTTATGTTTTCCCATTCTTCTTCAAAGACCAAGAGAATGTTCATAATGTTCGCCATCTTCAACAAGATCAATGACTTTTGCACAATCTTCGACACTAAAAACCATATACAATCGTACACAATAGTCACCAAAACTACCTCGTCATTATGAAGAATAAGAAAATTTATTTTGCTCTTAAAAATTAGCCAAGGCCATGTGTTGCCATGAGTCAAAAAACAAAATATTCAGAAGACATAGTTCTGACCTTTGACTAAGAAGACTAAGGAAGGAGCATAATGCTATCCATGTATTCATGCATGGTGGGCGGAAAAAGCACTCTAGGGTGGGGATCCTTGACAGTTCTGTTTGACGATTCATTTGACACATTTGAATTTGATTTGAAATTTTGTGGATTTGTCAGTCTTTACGAAACTTATTTTATGTTATTTATTATTTATTCTACTACTGATAGTTGTATAAAGGTAGTAAATCTAGATGGAAATTGTGGCAGAACTTAAATTAACAGTGACACTATCGCGATTTATCGAAAAAGACTCTAAAATAGTTGGTTGTGTAGCGTGCGGTAGATCTCGGCAAAAATTGAGTGAAATAATGGAACAACTTTTCGCTAGTAAGTGACTATATAATATACATACGTGTAGTAAACCGATCATTTATGAAATTCACTTAAATTAACTAAATTATATATTTTTCTTGCATTTTAGCTTTTATTTATTCCTTGTCAAAGATTAGATGTCAAAGAATTTAGATACGTTAATTTGACTTACCTGCTTCAGTAGCGTATCGGATGTTTGTGTTAATAAATACTTATTATAACTTATCTATTTTTATTAGAATTATATATTTTTGTAACAATTTTAATAACTACCAACATTTATTCACAACGTAAAATAAAACAACAAATTATTGAGTCTACCCCACGTCTACCCTACATCATAGTTTTACATTTTTTAAATAAAATTAGAACGACACTGATAAACCGGAATTTAAGTCGGCCATATTTGAGGCCCATCGCGGTGTACCTAAGATTTTTGATATGCTCCTTCCTTAGTCTTCTTATTCAAAGGTTCTGACCGATAAATAATGTTTAGGAAAATTTCCTCAGAGTAAGAAACAATTCTTCGATTAAACTCTTTATAATAAGTAAAAATCTTAAGTTTATAATAAACTGAGTTTATAAATTAAAGCTGATATATTTATATTTAGTTTGCTCAAAAAATGAAGGAAATAGAGCTAAAAATAAAAAAAATATGTAATTTTAAACTTAACGAAAAATTTTCCCGTTGCGTTTTTTGCATCTGAGTGTAATTTGTAACGTTGTTAAAAAAAAATGTTCTATTCGGAGTAAAAATAACTTTTGATACCTCGCATGTAATGTCAAACATACAATCTCGCCACGAAAAGTGTTATTATTAAATCAATTTACTATTATGTATTATCTATGAACGTACAATGAAAAGTTTTTCATGATGATTGTAGTATTGTTATAAAAATAATATTTAAAAATATCCCGCCTTTACCATATATAAGATATAGTACACTATCCGTTTCCGGTAGGTGTATTCGCAGGCAGGGTACTGATGGTACGACATTGTAAATTTCTTCATTCTTTCTCCAAGCGTTGAAATAAACAAATCTAGTATTGAACTGTGTTTAACTCAACCCAGTAAAATCGCAATCAATCACGTGGTCCAAAACAGCACAATGATAATTTATATTTTTAGTCAAATTTCATTTCAGCGAATAGCGGAAGTTATATTCCATAATTATTGTTTGTTTGTTTAATGATAGTAACTATGTGTTTTTAAGAATATTTACATTAAATTTGAACCAAAGTGTCAATTATATTTCACAAAAAGTATTCGAATAGGGTTAGTGTAACAGTTTCGTTGCCACATTGTTAAGCACTATTTACCTCGAATTAAAGTATGTACAAATGCAGTAGTGCATGTGCTCAAACAAAAGAAAATAAAAATAATGTGTAATATGTGTGATTTTTAGTAAGTCTCATGACAACAAAAAATAATAAAATAATACTTCACCGGGTCACTTTTACAGCAAATGTCCTCATCGCTCACGTTTGTTAAGGTAGCATTACTGATCCGCCTCAGCATTTCCATTCCCACTGGAGTTGGCGAAGATATTTTTTCACTGCATCTATCCTTTTCACTGTTGGTTGAAGATCTACGAATAATTCTCCATTCTCCTCGAGGTGATGTGGGTAAACTACTTGTGGGTGTTATTTCGTCAGATTCTGGATTAGCTAATGTTGGCATTGTTGAAGTAATTGTTTCCGTTGGAGCTGTCAGCGTGATAGTACTACCAGAGTAACATTCTTCTTCCCCCTTTCTAAATAGTATATTTATTATAAATTCTATGAATAGTTTTCTTTTAGTGTTATTTTTATTTATTTAAATTGTTTTGCTTGTACCTTTTTGTACTTTTTATTTTTTTTTTCTTTTTTCGATTTTTCAAAATTAGAAAAAAAACAATGAGCTGAAAAATTCAGTGAGTGAAAAATATAGAGTGCTAATATCTCACCGATACTTGGGAATGGAGAATGGTTCCCATCTTTACGAAAAACAAAACAATTTATTTTTACTTTTTTTCTTTTTTCGATTTCTCGAAATTATAAAAGATAAAGGCAAGAAAATATTTATATTGTTCATTTTGATATGAAATATACTCTATGTTATTTTAAATAACGTAAAATGATGGTGGCTATAACAGCAATTTCTAATTCAACAAATCGTGCTTCCCTTTCTCACAATGAATTGAAAAAAATCGAAAATTTTAGTTCTCTAGTCCTTTAAAATTTAAACTAAGATATTTTTATTTTCCTAGAATATGAATAATAATACGAAGAATTGCAAAATACAGTATGCTAGAACCGGAGGAACTATGCTCCCATCCTATCAAGGAGCTGCATAAGTTAGTGCAGGGCACAGGGATAGGAGAATGGGTGCAGATATAGAAAGGGGACAAACACAATAGGCCTCACAGGTCGCAGTGTTTCCGGCCCCTTATTGTGAAAAAAAAACAGTATATTGTATGTATACAGGATGTTACAAATTCGAGGTACGAGCATTGGTATTTCGGAAACCTATGATACGAAGAAGGTTAAATTGAGGCAAAGTTGCGCCTTGGGATGTTCGCCAACATGCTAAAAGTTTCAAAAATTACAAGGATTGCTGAGTTTTTTGAAAAAAAAACGATTTTTTGAAAACCAATTTTATTTTTTTCCTGTCGTTACTTTTAGAAAATCAAAAAACTAATTGCACATTCTTATAGCCACTTTATCAGCGCTATCTGATAGTGTTTTTAGATTTTCAAATTAGCTGATAATTTGTGAGATACATAGGCCAACTTATTTTTTTTTAAATACGGACCTGCAGTTTTATTTGAGGTTTTGAAACAATTCAGTCTCTTGAGTACAACGATATGCCACACTATATATATATTTTTTGTTTTGTTTTGGATACTTTAACAACAACAAAACTGTTTAATTATTATTTAAAATAATTTCAAGTCCGACTCTGGATTTTTAAATTATTTAACCTTATTATATTTATCGCACCAATATTGATGAGCTTTAATTAACATTGAATAAGGAAAATCAATCCAATTGAAAGATTCAAATAAATATTATCCAGGCCAGCAATTTAAAAGATAGTACTTTTAACTTTTTTTGTGAATTTGAAATCTCAATGTACGATCTGATAATATGCATAATATTAATCGTGGTTATTATAAATAGGTATATCAACTTTTACAAACCAATTTCTCTACATAATCGAAAGGGTTTATTTATATACCACCCTCTCTATTGCACACATTTATTTTTCTTTCAATTTTTTTCCCGTTCAACAGATCTTCTTCTTATAGTTCCGAATGCATTTTGTACTCTTTGTTGTAAATGTTGAAGTGCGTATTGATTTCACTTTTACAAATGACGTCAAGTAATGCCCCCGCCCCTTGGCGAGGTCAAGAACCTCGCTGGCCATTATGCTGCTCCACCATTTCCAATCCATCAGCTTTTCCAATCCATCTTCTAGGGAAATGATTTGATTGTTTATATTATATTATATTTCTATTATTAATTTTATATTATTTTATTGTATTTGATTTTTCGCATTCAATGTCATGTCATTGTTAAATTGTAACTGTTGTTTTAAAGCTCATCAATATTGTAACAGTGAATAGATTAAATATTAAAAAATAAGCAGAGTCGGACTTGAAATTAGTTTAAATAAATTGTGTTTAAATGCCCGAAAAAAAGTGTGGCATATCGTTGTACCCAGGAGACAGAATTACTTTAAAATCTGAAATAAAAAATGCAGGTCCGTATTTATGAAATCAAGTTGGCCTATGTATCTCTCAAATTATCAGCTAATTTGAAAATCTAAAAAAAACTATCAGATATCCCTGATAAAGTGGCTATGAGAAAGTGCAATCAATCCGTTTTTTGATCTTCTAAAAAGTAACTACAGGAAAAACTAAAATTTATTCTCAAAAAAATCCGTTTTTTCCAAATAACTCAACAACCCTTGAAATTTTTAAAACTTTTTTGATGGTGTCTTGGTGAACATCCCAAGGCGCAACTTTGCCCCAATTTAACCATATTCGTATCTATTACGGTTAACGAGATACCAATGCTGGTACCTGGAATTTGTAGCACCCTGTATATTTGTTCAAGATTTTGTTTCTGCCATAAGTCACTGAATTCAACAAAGTAGGATTTCTGTAAATTACTATTTTCAGTTTCCTCGAAAGGTCGTTGTGTTTTATGTAACCCATGCTTTTTCTAATCCATTTTTATTAATTTCCCAAAGCTGTAGTCTATATAATGAATAACTTTGAATTTTGACCGTTTTTTTTACCAACATGGCAAATATAAAATCCCCCTGTCAAAAAAGTTACTGATATTCTTTTAATTGAGTGCCTGAACGAATCAGATAGGTAACTCTTTTTACTTTCGTGAAATAGAAAAGGAAAATTATAGAACAAGTGACAGTTCTTCCTCTTCTTGCAAAAATCAACACGAAATAATTGTCAAAAGTAAAATGTCATCAACTTTTGACATTTCTAAATATCAGACCAATACCGTCTCTAATAGAATAGCCTCGGAGCGAGATTTATGACGTCACGTTAGTTAGATACTACGGATTAATAAATATGTTGTAGAATACATGGAAAACATAATTATCCCTCGTATTTTTGGTTTGTATTTTAAAAATAATGATAATAATACTTATATGTAATAATTTACATATAAAATTACAGCGATCTTTATTTCATAGCCATCGCTGACGCCTTTTTTCTGTGATATTGTATTATCTGCAAATATAATTTTTCGAACATTAATACTTGCAAAATATACATATAAATTTTGTGAATGCAAATAATAATACATCACTATTAGTAGATATTGAATGTTTTTTGTTAAATTTGATCGATTTTCAAACCCCAAAATTTAAAATATATTTTACATTTTACCCATTATCTTATGTACCTATTCATGATTTGTATATTGTAAAACATTTGCTGCATTTGTATGGTTCATAGTTAATTTGCCAAAGTATTTATTACTACTTACTTACTACTTACTACTTATTACTATTACTTTTTACTATAAATAGGTATATATATATATATATATATATATATATATATATATATATATATATATATATATATATATATATATATATATATATATATATATATATATTGTATTTATTAACTGTATATTATGTATATTTCATGTAGACTATATCATTTTTAAAATACAAACCAAAAATACGAGGAAGAATTGTGATTTCCATGTTTTCTACAACATATTTATTAATCCGTAGTATCTAACTAGCGTGACGTCACAAATCTCGCTCCGAAGTTGTTCTATTAGAGACGGCATTGGGGGGAACTGTCAAATTCAAAGTTATTCGTTTCACAGACTATAGTGGAAAATTAGTTGAAAAATTCTTAGTAATAGCCTCTAGCACTTTTTTGATATAACAATAATATTTTTCTCTGTTTAATTGATACTTTTTACTTTTCACTGTATAGTATTTGATACCGTTATCTTCTTTTTGCAAAAATCGAAAAGTTAGATTAAAACTCTTAAGAAATAGATCATCTTAATACACAATTTTGTCTGCAAACGTCTGAGTCTTAGTTCATACTTACGCTAAAGTGACTTCTTCCTCTTGATCTTGATCGCAGTCTATCGATTCCCTTAGGCGGCTGTGTTTGTTCCTTCGAGTTTTCATATTCAAGGGCCGCATCCGGGTAAGGGAAATTACTTCCGATAAAAGTGTGGAATTGGACTGAGCTCTGGTCACTAACGGAAGACTCGTGCTTGAGGCTAAGGATTAAAAAAGAGAAATGTTCGGGTCTCTCAGTAATTTAATTAAAGCGGAAAATTGTTCTCTCTGAAAACCGCAACGGAACATACAGGGTGACCCAGGCTTCCGAAAAAGCTCTGTATTAGGATTTTGGTTTGCGATTTTCATTTCAATTTTTTATATAATATAGGGACAATGGTAACGCACATTTTAAAAATATTTTTGTCAACCTTCAGGGCGATTCAAACAAATTTTTAAACGAAAGTTCTATTTTTTATAGGTGTATAAACTATATTGCTGTATATTTTCAAACTCCGAGTGGTTCCGATACAGGGTGTTGAAGTTTCATTTATATTTCGATTTTTTTCTAAATAATTTCTGGAGTAACGTCAATATTTAGATAAAAAAATATTTCAAATTTATGATTTCAGTCTAATAACTATTTAGTCAACATGTTTTATTTATATCAATGACGACAGGTATTGATAAGTTCGATTCCAAATATCTCGAGAACCATTAATCGTACAGATTTTTACCAAGAGACCTCTTTTACGTAAAAAACGTCGTAAATGTTTTTTAATCAGTAGTTTTGGTTTGGCTCTTCAAACCAGTTAACAAACCTCTACAAGTAGGAGTCATATTGATATCAAAATAAAATTTATTACGCCAAAAAACTCCTAAACACCAATTTTGATCCAAGTTATTTCAGAAATTATTTAGAATAAATCGAAATAAAAATGAAACTTCGACACCTTGTATCTCCGAAAGTAAGCATACATTTATGCGAACTTACTTATTTTTATCTGCAGAATATGCTGGCGAAGTTTCCGGAATACATTCGGACCACTCTGTATATAGGAAATACTGTATGTGTGTGTTCTTCAAAATTCGGTCTACCAAAATTTGTGATCTTGTTTGATATATACGAATCAAAATTAATGCTCAAAACTAAGGGAGTTTCGGACTTCCATTGTCCTTATTTATTTGGCTTACACAACGTTTCGGTCAGAAGTATCACTGACCGTTATCAAGTGTGAACTAAACTAAATCCTAAAACTACTGAGCTTATATACTAGAGCCGAGAATTCACCCGTGATTTTGTTGGGTGCAGTCAAGCATGTTTTAAACTCGTTTAGTTTTAATACTGACTCATTGTCTACCAGATTCAAAGCAAAATTAATGTAGTTTTTTCTTCACTATTTTAAATGGAACAATCTGTATTTCGTTTAAGTAGACATAAAATAAGTTTAAAAATGGTTATAGTTCAAAAACCATTCGGTATAGTATATAACATTATGGTGTTTTTAGAACGGAAATTTAATAACAAATCCACTGAGTTAGAAAAATAATAGTATTCCCTTTAAAAATATACAATTTGGTTTAAAAAAATGGGTTCAAAAAAAATTTGTATGTTGAAAAAAATATTTTCAAAATATGCGTTTCCATTGCCTTGCGTTGCCATTGCATTCATGATATTAGGATATTAGACGCATACACACAAAAAATGGCAACAGGTTACAAACATTTATATATGCTACAAAAAAAAACAAGACATTAAATACTCTAAGCTTGCTCTCCACACCGATGTTTTTAAACGATTACGAATCGATTAGATCGCATTTACCGGCTTGGCGTATGAATTTTTTCACCGCACCGGGTATACTGCCAAAAGAAATAAAGCTGCTTTCAGAATAAAGTTGCCATAAGAAACAGAAACGAACAATGTGGGTTTTAATAACATAGCTGTAGATTAGTTCATTATACCTGCTGAGATACCCTGTAAATATGATCACAATAATTTTTAGAAATCAGACAGCTGTTATAATTGTTGAAAATATATTTTTATAATCATTTAAAATATACTTTAATTTTTGTTGAAATAATATTTAGATGTTTTATTATTTTATGGAATATGTAAATATACAGGGTGGTCCGAACTGTATTTCGGAAACTTCAGCAGCATATTTTGCAGATAAAAATAAGTAAAAAAGTTCCTATAAATATATGTCCTAAAATGCTTAGATTCGGAGATACAGGGTGTAGAAGTTTCATTTTTATTTCGATTTTCTCCAAATAATTTATGAAGTAATGTAAATATTTGGATGAAAATTGGTGTCTGGGAGTTTTTTGATATGATAAATTTGATTTTGATGTCAATATGACTCCTACTTGTAGAGGGCGTCACCTACACATTTTTTAACTGGTTTGAAGAGTAATAACTTTTCGTCCACACCTGTAAAAAACTACTGAGTTAAAAAATATACATTTACGACATTTTTTACGTAAAAAAGGTCTCTTGGGAAAAATCGCTACGAGTAATGATTCTCGAGATATTTGGAATCGAAATTATCAATACCTGTCATCATTGACATAAATTAAACATGTTGACTATAGTTATTAGACTGAAATCATACATTTGAAATCTTTTTGTGTCAAAAGTTCAAAAGAAACTGTTTTATCGTCATTTTTTTGCAGAAAAATTTAGGATTAATTTAAAAAAATAAAAATTGCCCCAATTTATTATTTCAGTCAAATAACTATCTACTCAACTCGTTTATTTTTTTGCCAATAATGACATGTATTGACTATTTCCATTCTAAATATCTTGAGAACGGTTTGCGAACGGAACTCGTAGCGATCTTTACCAAGAGACATTTTTTACGTAAAAAGGTACGGAAATGTATAATCTTTCACCCAGTATTTTTATACAGATACGGACGAAAAGTTATTACTCTTCAAAACAGTTAAAACACATGTAGGTGGCGCCACCTACAAATGGGAGTCATACTGATATCAAAATCCAAATTTATCATGTCAAAAAACTCTCATACACCAATTTTCATCCAAATATTGACCTTATTTCAAAAATTATTTGGAAAAAATCAAAATAAAAATAAACTTCTATACCCTGTACCTACTACGATTTTTTTTACTTATTTTTGTCTGCAGAATATGCTGGCGAAGTTTCCGGAATACAGTTCGGACCACCCTGTATAATAACTAAAATTGTTTTTTAATGATACTACTTCTAAATTTTTTTGTAAAAATAACTTTTGGGTCGATTTGAAGTCTTTATTCAATGGCTGTCACTTTACTTTTTATCTTACCTGCTAAAGAATCATGATCTTCCGCTTCTGCAATATGATATTTCCTATATCTAACGGCGTATTGCATTCCCAACAGCACCGTTGCAATTATAAGGCCACTCAAGAAGAATATCGCAGCTATATGAACAGCAGTTAATTTCAATACTACTGCTGGAATAGCTGTGCTAATGCTGTGGGCCACCCGGATTTCCGTCATATTCAGCTTTATTAGTTCTGCAACAAAATCGACAACTGTAATTTAATGTAGTTTGTAGTAATTACTGTATACTTATAGAACTCATGGTATATGTAAAGAGGGTGTTTCAAATTCGGTTTATCATTGAGATCTCGGACACGGTCAGAGATATAGGGTGACTTACATTGAGGCACAGTTGCTTCCTAAATCCAATGATGAACCGTTTAGTAATTATTGAATTTATATTTGTCATTTCCGGAAATATGGCGGAAAAACTAAAATTTCCAATTTTCGTTTTAATTTTTTACGAGTTTATTTTGACAGTTAGAAAAAATCTATAAACACTATATTCCCAAAAAAACCTTTTCCAACACCGAGAGGCAAGCAGGGACGTATCACCAGTTTTGCCGCTATTGCTGGGCAAGTGAAAATGGCGGTGCTGCCAATAGATTTCCCAGAGGTTGCACTGACCACTCACCAGCAAACGGCTCTAGAAGAGGCGATATTGGACAAAAGTAGTAGAAACACAACGATCCACAAAAGGAGGGTCAGCTACGTTTTGCGGGGATACCCTTTCGGATGAGCATGCTCCTCACAGATTGTGTCTCTCAAGAATCGGCGGATTGGTTGGTGGAAACGGCACCTAAGCTTAAGAATTGGCAAGGGCCGGGACTGGTTGGAACGAAGGGAGGAAACTAAAATCGCGAAAGATGCGACCATCACGGTCTTTCTGCTGAGAAGCAAGGGGAAATACACCACCTACCTGCTGAGCCTTATCCGAACTAAAAACTTCAATGTAAGGATATCGAATTGGCGAGTCATCAACTCGAGGTAGGAAGTCCACACAATAGCATTGACCTCAAATACAAGGAGGCAATAGAGAAAGAAGGATATATCCTCTATTATAGATTCGGGACAACAGCGGTATCAGGTCTAAGGAGAGACCAAGTTAAAAAGGTGGAAAAAATGGAGACAGGTCCTCCAGCTTCCACCTCACGGGTACCTCAGCTGGAGACAAGCTTCTCGACTGTAAAAAGCACGGATGGCCAAATCCCAACCGTAAGAGGGTGTATAACATACACTTGCCAGAGGAGGATAGGAAATACCCTGTCCCACCTACAACAGGGAAATCCTCAAGTATGATGGGTTATAGACTGTATGATGAGTTATAACTCAAGGAAGGGAGACACAATAGACATATGTATCCATTCCCGTTAGTTTCATGTGATAAAATTCAGAAATATAGCAAAGTGGTATAAATTGTATAAAGAAGTCGATTTTTTTAAGACCACATTAAACAATAATAATTGTTAATTCCCAAGATTAAACATAAACATAGCCGTAGTTAATAGCATTAGCGTAACTAGCAATTTATCTTGGGGGGGGGGGGCTGGTGCTTTTTTTTAAATGAAGAATAATTTAGAAAAAAAAAACATTTTTGAATAAAACGTTTACATGAATTTATCTATCAATAAATTTCATAGACTTGGTTATCAAATCGTGTTTCCGTAGATTACTTGAATACCTACAAATTTTCAAAAAAAATAAGAAATAACTCATTTTTTGTAGATTAGTCAACAAAACTAGAAAACGTCATTTTTTCTATATAACAAGCAAATAAAACCTAATACGTAGTTAAGAGTCATTATTCAAGATTTCTCCGGGAGTGCCCAGCAGTAGCTAGGGGGGGGGGCCGGCATCCCCGAGCACCACTGTAGTTACGCCAATGGTTAATAGTCTTCAAGAAATTAATTTAATGGGTCAATTATAAGCTCTCTTTGTGGTTCTTTAACTCTTGTTTAGATATTAAGGGTTTTCAAGATGTTAGTGTTTGTGGTTTTCAGAAATTTGGTTGCACTACGTAAACCTTAAATTAATTCATACTCCAATTTTGAGCAAGAATGAAAAAACAAGAATATTTCGTGTACCAATTGAACGAAAAAAAAAGGCAAGAGCATACTGTATTTAGAAGATTTTTAACAAACAAATTGTATAATTAAACGTAAAAAAAGTAAATAACTATTTTCATCGAAAAATGTAAATGTCACTCGTTAAAGTCCGAGCTAAAATCGCTAAAAAACTTAACAATTTCCACAATAAATAATACATTTATAGCAAGATATTGATTCCGTCATCTACTAGGCAAATAAAAACAAAACTCATCCTGTCATATTTTTTAAACAAAAATGTCTAAAGTTATTAAACTAAATAGACTGGCTTCTTACTTATCTGACTTGCTTCAGCTAAGAAGCCTCCCCCGCATAATTGTGATCCAATTGCAACTTCGTCCGAATAAAATTCTAGTAATAAATTCGGCCCTGTAGAATTTATCAGAGATGGACTGGAACCAGGGTGCCCTGTTAGATCAGCCAATAACGTGGAAGATAAGGAACTGCCATCTCGAATCTTTAACCACTGATTACCGCATGGCAAATAGAACTGCTCAACTCTAAATTGTATAACACAATCTTCGTCGGCCTGAAAATATAATGATAATTAGCTAAAAAAAAGGCTCATCGGTGGAAAAAATTCCCACAGTTTTGAAAATGATTTTCAACAATTCCTCTTGACTTGGGCTGATATGTGTCAAAAGTCCCCGAGCTCGAGGAGTGGGGAGGACTTAATAACATTATCTTTAATAACATAGATTTTTTGTAATTTAAATTTCATAATATATTAGACTGTACAAATTTAAAAAAGAATATCGCAATATACAAATTCAGGGAACCAGACCTCAAATGCTAATGCTTCAAATGTTTCGTGCTACTTTAACATTAGAAAACTAGGAGGATAGAAATCTTCAACTCTGGGCAATCATGGCCATAAACCATTATTCTTGGTTTTCTTATACTTTCTACAATATTTTCAGTTGCGCTAAATACTAATAATAAAAAAATGCTGTAAAGCAGGCAGAAATTAATCTTTAACTTGCAGTTATTGTTAAGCTCTGTGTGCACTAGTGCTCTCCAACGGAAGACAAAAAGTCACGATGCAATGAAGACTTGAAAGATAACATAAGGACCTCTTAATATTACGATTATTAATATGAAAGGTTAAATTTAGACTTTGGTTGGATTTTAAACGCGAAAATACTCGATATATATGTATATGATATAATATGAGAAATAGTGTTAATTTTGTCAACCCTGTAACTCTTAAAAGGTTAGACCTATAAAAAAACGCATTCAACCAATTTTGTAGAGAATTTTATGAGCTACAATTTTCTGTATAGGGTATTTTTTCGTAGATGTCTTATTTTCCGAGGTATAAGTTAAAAAGTCATAAAAATGACATTTAACAGTCCCCTCTCCCCGAGCTCATCGTCTATCTGCAGGGACTTTGGACACATATCAGCCCAAGTCAAATCATTTAAAACCATTTTCAAAACAAACCTACGATTTCTCTAATTTGACTGGGCTATACAGGGTGGGTCTTAAATAAGTGCAAATATTTTCAGGGCTGGTAGATCTTGATAAAAGAAACATATTTTCTCATTACCATTTTTCAGATAAGTCCAAAATAACAGAGTTATTTAAGTTTGAAAATTAAAAAAAAAGAAAATTATTTTAAATTTGAGTCACCGGATTTTTTTCTGTAATTGCATCCCTTTTAGTGCCGTAACCATAGAGTAAAGCCGTAACTATGGTAATATCAGAGATTAAGAAATTATACCGTGGGAAAATTTGCGTTAAACAGGCAGTTCTAAAAAGTTTTCGAAAAATATACAGGGAAATTTAAAAGAAAATGCACGATTTTCAACATCTTTTTTTTTGCGAATATTTCACTCATGTACAAAAATCACATATAAAATCGAAAATTACCCGGCGAAAATTTCCCGCAGAATGTCTAATAAGTGTGTGTTGTGTGTTGCTTAGAGATAAATTATTTTTAATAGGTATTCTAAAAATGTCTCGATTTGGAAACGATTCTTTAAGTGCAATTGAAGAAAAACTTGCCGAAGGTAAGCCGAAAAACACTATAATTAATCGCCAGTATGTATGGAAACAGTATATGGACTTTATAAAAGATAGAAACTACATTTTGGATGCGAACATCTCAATCTTGGCACTGGCCAATATTTTGACCGATTGGGCATTTAATATGAAAAGGAAAAACGGCCAAGACTATAAGGATTTTTTTTGTTTAATTTTATTGCTTCATTTTTAAATAGATTTGTTTTAATATGTTCAAATAAATGTTTTTAAAAAATCTATGTATTTTCTTTTTTTTTCGGGAAATATTCTACCCAATTACACTCGTGCATCAAAATTAACCTGATAATTTTTATGCACTTGGGTAATTGCTTCCGAAAAAAATCTCATAGATCCTGAGGTCGAAATATACCACCCCTGAAAATATTTGCACTTATTTAAGACTCACCCTGTATATAGCCGCGGATCGCTATTCGGCGAGTAAACAAGGTTGCAGTTCCGAGTAAACAAAGTTGGCCTAGTCCAGTACCCACGCATCAAAAAGAAGAAGTTAATTACAGCTATTGAAAATGTTTGTCACAATGGGCCACCAAAGTTCGATGTTTAATATTTTAAAACTATTACCGTTAATTGAAATAGTTGTATTTCACTCAACAGTATTACATTTATAATTCCATGTGATGAAAAAAAAACGGCGTCCAGTTGGCTAGGAAATGACGATGGTTGACATTCCCCAGATAATTTTATATATAAAATGACAGTGATTTTCATTTCCAAGTCATCTCCGACGCCGTTTTTTTTTCGGACGTATTGTATAATTATAAATCTAGTCTGTTTTTTAGTAATTTTTAACATGTAACAAACTTACAGTTGAGGGTTGGAACCTTTGGTGTTACACAGCAAAATAAACTTAGTTTATCAGTTTATAATCATCTGCTGATAATGCTAACATGGTTAGCGAAACGCGCGTCCCGTGTAAAAGTAAAAGTGTTTTGGTGTATTGTGGTGATTTAGTGTTTTTATGTAACAAACGTTTGCTTTATAGTCCGCGAACCTTCTTTTTAATTGACATGGTGCTCGTGGAACAAAATCCCCTAAAGCTAAATGTTTGCAGTTGGTAACTTGGATCGCACTTATTTTGAAATACTTGTTGCATGTTACTCGCTACTAGAGAAAGATATTATATTCTATATTAAAAACTTTGTAATGCTTTAGAGTCTTGTTATCTCAAAATATATTTAAGAATATTATTTGCTATTTAAACTATGAATTTGAACATTGTAATAAATTTAGAGAGTTTAAACCCTAGCTGCACGCTACTGGTTTAATCAAATTATGCACTTTGTAGGTAATTTTATAAGCAATAATTTTGATTAGAAACAAGTTAACTGTATCCGAGATATTTTTCAAAAAATAGAAATCGTACCTTTTGGAGTGGTTTTGGGGTTGTTTGCACAGTCGGAGGGATGCTAATTAACTATAAAAATTCAGCTTTAGGGGCTTTTGTTCCACGAGGCAGCTTAACTACCCTGGAATATTACTAGAGTATTACGGAAGGTGGTAATAGCCCATACCTGTATTAACCAAAAAGTTCTTCCTGGACAGCTCTGACTAGAAGTCGCTAAAAATCTCTTTGGTTTTGCATGACCTAAATGAACAACGCAACCACATCTACAATATGGACCGACTTCGGCTTCAACTTCCGGTATTTCGTCAGCAATTATGTCATTGCCTGTAATGCTACCGGCATAAAAGCATTCCCAGCTTGATCCCAGAGTTGTACTACATTTTTCAGTTTCCACAGCTGGCCCCTGTAATATTAAGGACATAAAAAATAGTTAGGATATGTATTTTAAAATATACGGAAATAATCAAAGATATTTAAACTCAAGAGATACAATTGTTTACCTTTTTCCTTCATCGGCCATTATTCTATCCTTATTTTCGCATCTCTCTTACACCGAAAACATTTGCCAGATTTACCTGTATATTGGTAGTAGTATTCGATTAAATACCACAACCAATTATTAAGTAATAAATAATTTCGTTATATTTCTATAATATATCAAGTACGGGGTGGGTCAAATTCGACTTCGCTTCTAAATGGAAACGCCCTAAATGGATTCGCTTTTAAATGGAAACACCCTTTTCTATAGCAGATAGACGAAAACTAATATCGGTGTCTGGAGCTCAATTTTCATCAAAAACATGATGGTGAAAACCGCACATCAATATCTGTTACCGTTTCGGAGTTATGGGGTGTTTTTCAAAAATGTGCATTTTTAACAAATCGCTGTAACTTTTTTGCTATGGAAAATTTTGTATTTCTATGAAAACATTTCCAAAGCACCTTTTAACGTAGAATTTAATGGTTGAAGTATAAGTTTTTTAAAATTAATAATTTAGGAGTTATCAACAGAAAATTGATTTTTTATTTGGGACACCATCTATATTTTTAATTAACTGAAAAGAATTTAAAATTACCTTTCCAAAAATATAGCACACTTAATATTTTGTTATAATCCCCTTCGAAATACAGAATTTTTAAAAGTTTGCCGCTTTTAACTAGTAGTAGGCTTTGGACCCCTTATTGATGATATGCCCTTAATGGAAATTGAAAACATACTTTTCCAGCAAGACGACGCACCGCCTCTGAACGCTGAAGTTATCAGCAAATTTTCGCAGCCAATTTCAAGAATAATTTAATAGCTAACCAAGATCTTAGCCGTAGGCCGTTGGGGCCGCCTGATTTAGTGCCCACGGATCTAATCCTATGGATATATTTGCAGAAGAATAAAGGTTCCATATTCTTCCGTACAATCTAGACAATCATTAGAAATACTTAGCAGTTATGAGAGGGTATCTTTCACCCCCACTGTGTTAATGAATTCCGCAAGAAATGTCCGATATGTCGAACACCTGTAGCAAAATCTCATGTCTTGGTTTGCTATTTATTTTTATTTTTATTTGCTATTGTTACGGATTCCGTGGGTCCACTAATTTAAACTCACGATAAAATACTTAACGAATTTATTTTCTCACTTTATACACAATTACTAACTTATAACACACAACAAACTAACTATTTATAAGATTCCTTCACCAAATTGTCCGATTTTCAATTTCCACGCGGTATATTCAAATTTCAAAAACTGTTTCAGTTGTCGATGGCTCCGGCTTATATACTCTATTGACTGCTTCTCGAAATTTCCCCAATTCTCGGAAAGCGTACTTCTTCATACCAGACAATTCCATTGTCTGATTCCCTTACTTCTCGACTTGACTAAAAGATGGCGCCTGAAAAAGTCTTCTAATTTCTGGCGGATACGTTGCGGTTGTGCAGGCAACCAGTAATACATTTTTAATTTCTGGCGGATACGCCATTTTTCTTGACATTGCCCCCTTCTCAAATTTGATCGTCCCGATCAAGGTTTCCTGTCTGGTATCTCTTCAATCGATCCAGATGAACTACTTTCATCTTACTTCTAGGGCTGCGTTGAATCCGGTACACAACATCATTTATCCTCTTGATGACTGTATAAGGACCTTCCCATGCTGGAGTTAACTTTGGGGACCTTCCTTTCTTGCGCTGTGGGTTATACAACCATACCCTATCGTCCTGTTGAAATCCCGTAGAATTAGCTCTGAGGTCGTAACGAGCTTTCATCCGGTCACTGGCTAGCGTAATCTTACTTCTCACGGCCTTATGAATTCCCAATAATCTTTCCTTCCTAACGATTCTTTCGAACGACAGTCCAACGTTATCTTGTTCCATTTTTCCTCCAGATCGAGTACTTGGTCCTTGTCTAGCTGCGCAAATCTTACAACGTTGACACCATTTCTTAACATCTTCACAATAATCCACCCAGTAAAAACGGTCTCTCAGCTTGCTCAGGGTCTTGTTTACCCCAAGATGGGCTCCAGTTTTACCACCATGAATTTCTTCCAATACCTGGGTGACTTTCTTCCTTGGTACCAGTAACTGAGTTGTTACGGTCCTGCCATCCGCACTTTCCCACGTGCGCTTTAACAATCCATTCTCAATCACCAGTGAATTCCACTGAGCCCAGAGAGCTTTGAAAACCAGCCCTCTGTCCGCAATATCCTGCGACGGTGGTCTCTCGCCGTTACCTTCCTTGAGCCGTAGTATTGCTCCGATGTCTGGATCTTCCATTTGATCTTTCCTCAATTGTAACGTCGTCCATTGTTCGTCAGTTCTCAGTTTAAAATTCTTTACTCTGATAGTGCTTTCGCGATGTTGCATTTTCTTGTCCAAGGTAGCTCGTCGTCGATCTAGGTCGTTGTCGATAATTTGTACCCGTCCTACACGGCACCCAACGGTTTTCTCTAGTTTCCCGAACACAGTCTTCTTGGTATCACCAGGTATCATCACAATTTCCGATGATCTTTCTTCCATATTTCCTGGTCTCTTCTCGTTAGATACAGAAAATTCCTCATTTCCGATTTTCAGGATGTTTCTACGGTGATCGAACGAAAAACCATGTTGACTGATCACATCCATACCCATGATAAAATCATCTTCAATGTCTGCCACTAAAACGCTATGCCGAAACTTCAAATTCCCTAACTCCAATTCCATGAAAGCCTCTCCCCGTACAACGGCCATTTCCCCCGTAACTGTACGTAAATACACTCTTCTTCTAGAGGCATCATCTTCAATCCTTGCACCGAGTTAGTCCGCACCAACGATACCATAGCGCCTGTGTCCACAGTCATTCGAATTCTTCTACCATTGACCTTCCGTTGATCACCAAACTGTCAGCGGTTTTCCTAGACTCTAACGGAAAACATCCTAGGGGCTCTGTTTTCTTCAGCCAATACTCGCTCATTAGTGTTGATTTCCTGGTGCTTATGTTCTCTCGATGGTAAACGGAATCGCATTTGGACGCGGCAATCCCGTTTGATGTGGCCATTCCTGCCACATCTATAGCAACTTATGTCCTGGGATCTTCCGATGTGCCGATGTTCTCTGGATGGTGAATGGAATCGCATTTGGATGCGACAATCTCGTTTGATGTGGCCATTCCTGCCGCATTCATAGCACCTCATATCCTGGAATCTTCTTTGGTTCTCTGTCTGGGTGTTGTTGACTCTCTTGTTCACTAGTAATTCACATAGTTTATTAAACATCTCCTCCAAACGTATGTGAGAACTCTTTGGCTGTTCCTCAACCGTTACCGAGCCTATCTTCGGTTTAGGAATGGCGCTAAATGCAGCTTCTATTTCCAGCGCCCTGACGAGTACTTCGCTGCTGGTAGAAAATCGCGATATTTGCAGCGCCCTCTGTAATTCATTGTCCCTCAGTCCGCTGATAAAGCACTGAGCAGCGAGTTCCTCCCTAAATCCTTCCGGTGCTTCAGGATACGCTAGGTGTACCAGCCGACGTAAGTCTGCTTCAAATTCCTGCAGACTCTCTCCGGACCTCTGCAGGCGTGTCTTGATCTGGGCCTGGTAAAGTTGGCGTCGATGTTGGTCGCCATATCTTCTGTCCAGTGCAGCGACCAAAGTTTGGTATTCCTGCTGTTGGGCTGCAGGAATAGTTTGCAACAGTTCTAGGGCAGGGCCACGCAGCGCGATGACAAGTGCCGCTGCTTTCTCCTGGTCAGTCCATCCGTTGGCAGCGGCGGCTGCTTCAAACTGACGGTGGTACATTGTCCATGTCGTTTGTCCATCGTAGGTCGGGGCCTTAAGGTTCGCAGTTCCAGAGACGCCAGGTGTCCTTGCTTGTACCTTGGTCTTCTGTATGTCCATCTCTAATTTTTCCATTTTCTGCTGAAGGCGTTCCTCCAGATCTTCTACGACTTCTTGGAAATGGTTCTCCTGTCGTTTTTCCAGGTCTTCAAAATTCTTCTGTAGTCGAAATTCCTGATTTTCTAAAGTTTTCTTAAGACGGTCCTGATCTTCTTGTCTTTCTTTTTGGCGGCGCGTTTCTATATCTTCTAAAATTTCCCTCCATTCATTCTTCTGACGACTTTCTAAATTGCCTAAAATTTTCTCAAGCCGGTCCTGTTCTTCTTCTTTGTCTTGTTGTCGTTGAATTTTCATATCTTCTAAAATTTTCTCAAGCCGGTCCTGTTCTTCTTCTTTGTCTTGTTGTCGTTGAATTTTCAAATCTTCGAAAATTTTGTCTTGATTTTCCAGAATTTTCAGTAGGCGGTCTTGTTCTTCTGCTTTCTCTTTTCGCAGCTTCTCTTGTTCTTCTGCCTTTTCTCTTCTCATATTCTCCATAAAATCGCCTAATAGTTTGCTTACTTCCTCCATTTTCTTCGCTTGTTCCCTTGTACCAACCATAAAAATACTCTAATTCGGTCTAAAAATCTTCCAATCCACTTAATTTCTTCTTAAAATCCTCTTGAATCCCACTTCTGACACCAATTGTTACGGATTCCGTGGGTCCACTAATTTAAACTCACGATAAAATACTTAACGAATTTATTTTTCTTACTTTATACACAATTACTAACTTATAACACACAACAACTAACTATTTATAAGATTCCTTCACCAAATTGTCCGATTTTCAATTTCCACGCGGTATATTCAAATTTCAAAAAACTGTCTCAGTGGTCGATGGCTCCGGCTTATATACTCTATTGACTGCTTCTCGAAATTTCCCCAATTCTCGGAAAGCGTACTTCTTCATACCAGACAATTCCATTGTCTGATTCCCTTACTTCTCGACTTGACTAAAAGATGGCGCCTGAAAAAGTCTTCTAATTTCTGGCGGATACGTTGCGGTTGTGCAGGCAACCAGTAATACATTTTTAATTTCTGGCGGATACGCCATTTT